TTTTCGCCTTTTCTCCATATAGCAAGTGCAGGAGTGGCTGATGATTACAAACTAGGAGGAAAGGGATGTTTTACCTTATTTTTATTGGCACTTTCCACTGTGACCTCCTTTTGTATATCTCAGATTAGTTGGCTTGTTGCGGCAATAATGCCATATACCTTTGAGTTTTTGTAAACATTATAAAACTTTACCTATCTTTCACACTTCTAAGTACAAATTGATGGTTTTTATTCAAGAGTAGGCGGATATTGTAAAACGATTGAAGCTGGTTAATGAGCACTAGCGTTATGTCGATAAACTCACAGTGTCCACAAAAGTCCAGTGTATTTTTAGGCGACAATTGAAGCTTGTGAGGTCATTTTTCTCTGTCTTCAGAAGTAAAGAGGCTAACTTAGTTAGGGTTGCTTGGAAACATTGACGATGGTTTTTGTAAACCTGGCTAGGTTTAGTCTAGAAGGTTTCAACGTACAATTTTCTCACTTGCTTTGCTGCAACTTTTGATCACATGGTTCTGATTTCTCACTGCCTCGCAACATCTCTATTTTTCTCGTTTATAGCTCTTGATTATCTCCGCATTATAATTATATGCAATATCCGATCATTCTTCCTCTTGCTCAAAATTCTATCTTAGAAGTAGTCGCCTATGCGAAAAAATTCTTTTTTTGGTAACACCACCAACTTATCACTTCAGTAAATGTTTAGAGTAGACCGTGATGAGCCTCTATCCTCAATGCTGCCTACACTGGGTTCGTTCTCTCCTAAACCGTTTGTGATTCGTTTCCAGCCTCACATCACTTTGCAATCTGCGAAAACTAAGGCATCCTGGGCAGATGAAACCATGATTGAACAGATGAAGTATGTTATTTTAAGCTTTCCTCCTTGTTTTGTTAGTGTTCTTGTATTCTCTTATTATTGTTCCGTGATTTCTCAGCAGTATAAATATTGTGTTATTGGTTTGAGAGGTTGGTTGTTGCTAATCACGCGTCCATCAAGCAATTTTGCTTCTTTGCAGTCAACAACAACTCCCCTCTGTTGAACCACTCTCTCCTATTATCGACCTTTCAACAGATCATATCTATAACGATACTGCTATAGTAGCTCGACCCCAAGCTCCCTTATCATTGCACACAGTACTTTGGTCTCGAGAGCAGGATCAAAAGTATCCCTGGACGAAGTGAGTTTACTGGTGTTCTTTTTTT